CAGCCAGGTGCTGGCCTGGTGCGGTGGGTGGCCGCCTGGCCTCGCCACGCCTCCATCCACAACTCCAGGGCCAGCGGGACCTGCCTCATAGGGCTGGTGTGAAGGTAAACGGTCCCTTCAGATGACCACCCTCGTGTCCCACGTACAGTTAACTAAGAGTGCGCTGCTGTTTTTAAAATTACTCAGAACCTCAGTTCTCACATCTTTAAAATGAACAAGTGAGTGCCTGAGGGACAACGTGGGGAAAGAACACCACAGCCCTGAGTGTTCTCCATCCTGGAGGGGAGGCCTGAGAGGCTGCGAGGGGTCCCTCTGACAGGGCTGCAAGGCTGAGCTGGCCTGGGCCTGCTGTCTCCCAAAGCCAGGGGCAGGGGGGCGGGGGGAGCTCCATCCAGGCACCTCCCACATTCAGTCTCACTTTGGGACTTCCCTCCAGAGCCTCCCTGAAAGTTCTGCCACATCCGTGGCCTGGATGGGAAAGACCAGAGGCCCCATTTGGGGGCAGAGGTGGGAGTGGAACCCCAGGGTGGCTGGGGGGATAGCCAGACAGTGGGAGGGTTCTGCACACCTGCATCAAGGGGGAGGAGTGGTCAGGGCCGAGGCCCCACTGCGATGCTGCGTCCATCCGATTCCTTGTTCTTGAAGTCTGTGTTGGGCCCCAAGGTCTCGCCCTGCCCTCTGGAGTCTGAACCCAGCCACCCAGGGCAGAGCCTGGGGCCTCCCGGCACGGCCCCCCCGCCCCCGAGTCCTGCGCGGTACCCACTCAGTCCTGGGGGGTGCTGTTTGTCCAAGGATGTGGTTTACAGGAGCCACCGCTCAGAGGGCTGGCGGGACAAGTCACAGCAGTTCAGGGGCAGATAAGACTCCTCTCAGGGCTGGAGTGGAGGGGCCACCAAGGGGTCATAACACGCTTATCTTCCATCCCAGCTACCGGCGGAGCGGCATTGTGGGAACTCCCTGCGTGACACGTGTGGGCAGAGGTGGCTGGGCCCACTGTCGGGGAGGGGAGGGGTGATTGGGGGTGGCGGCCGCTCCCCCTCTCAGGAGGTGGGGACAGGGCTTTCAGGGGCTGCCTAGGTTTGGAGCACCTGTGGTGGGATTTTAGGCAGGTGGAGATATTTATGTTTCAGGGAGGGGCTGTTCTCAGCGCTGCAGCACCCATGTGCCCCATCCAGCTGCACCGCAAGGGGCCTGACCTTGGCTGCCTTGGTGGCAGGGACTGGGCCTCTACTCCCCCAGCCCCTGCGCGGGCTGGGTGTCTAAGCAGGCGAAGAGATACAACTGAGAGAGAACTGCAGGACCCGGGGCCCTAAGCGCCCCCCCACCCTGCCTGTCCCTCTGTGCTTTGAGGACTGTGGTTTTCATGCTGCCATCTGACCAGGCACACAGGCGAGCGTCTTGGGTCCTGGGGCCTTGCTGGCCGAGGCCCACTGTCCCCCTTCACCTCCGTGGGCCCACTGCAGACTCCTCCACTGGGGCAGGGGGGCCGCAGGACCCTGGCACGGGTTAATCAGGACGGGCGTGGGGTCTCCAGCACCTCCGCCTGCTGGAACCCCCCTCATCTTGCCTCCTGCCTAGTCCTGTGCCACATGGTTATTTTAATATTGGTCTTTAAATCACCATTTTAAGCCACCGAGTACACTTATTTGGAAAGGAGCCATGTATCCCCGCAAGTGAAAAGAGGCTGGGCTCCAGGGCCCCGAGAACCAGACCCCAGCGCTCCCAGTTCCAGAAGAGCGACTCTCCTGCCGCCCTGGCCAGCATCTTCGCAGCCCCGGACCCTGACTGTGGCTGCTGGTTTCCCGCAGCGGCGGGTCTGTGTCTCCCCCTCTGAGCACTCTCGCCCCGCACCATGTATTTCCCCACCCCGGCCCCGCTCCCCGCCATCCCTGCCGACCACGCGCGCCCCGGGTTCCCACCCCGTGCATTTCCACACGTACCCCCGCTCTGCGCCTCCTCCCACGAGTGCACCCCCCAAGCCAAGCACGCGCGGCCCGGGCCCCACCCAGCACATTTCCATACACCCTGCGCCCCCTCCCACGAGTGCGTCCCTCCCTTTGCCAGACGAGCAAGCGCGGCCCCATCTGCACCCGGCCCGATCCCCACCCTGTGTTCCTCAGATTCCACGCCCGAGCACGCGAGGCCTGGGGCCCCGCCCCGCGCACCCGAGCACTCACCAGTCCTGGGTGCTGCTGGGTCCTCGCGGCGCACGCGCTCAGGCCCAGGGATGGGGGGGCCGTTCCTGGTGCAGGCGTTCCTGACGGCCGCCGGCGTGCGGTGAATAAAGTCGTTGTGCAGCCTCGGCTGCCCCGGCCCAGGTGCCGGGCCAGGAGCGGGAGGCGACGCCGCCTGTGCCTCGCGCCCAGGTTCGGCCCCCTGCGTGGCTGCAGGATGGAGAGGCTCTCGGGCTGGACTGCGTCTGTGACCCAGGCCTCTGCAGGGGGAGTGGAGGGGTGGGCTGCGCGCTACACCTTCTGGCTCAGCCCCCTCACTAGCTTTGATCTCTCAAATTCCCCTCCCAACGGAGGCTGAGACGGATGGAGACCTAGGCACCGACAGTGGGGCCTGAGGACTGCTCCCCGGGGTTTCTGGGCCTGGGATCACCCCAAGGTTGGGTCTTCTGGTCGCCGGGGGGCAGGTTACTGACTCCTAGGGCATTTCTGGGTGCCGACGCTGGGTCAGCGGACACTCAAGTCTACTCAGAGTGACAGGCTGAGATCGGCTCTGCAGCTGGGGCTCCCCTGGTGACACCCCGCTGGCCCAGGACACTGAGCGCCGGAACAGCATTTACCCGAGGCCTGCTGTGCTCCCGCCCCCGCCCCAAGTCGGCCCAGCGCTGCCAGGATCTGCAGAGAAAGCCTGGCACCCGTGCCCGGGCCTCCACTGTACATGCGTCGCCCATCTCCCACGCCTGCTCCCCCACCCCCATCTGTGGGACTTTGGAACCCGTCCGCTGCCACGCATTTAATTTTTACCCGAGCGCTTAAGTTTTTTTTTCCTTTGCTACCGGTTGTGACCTTTGGAGGGGGGAGGGGCGGACCCCCGCTGCGCACGTGCTGTGGGTCTGGGCTCCGGAGGTGGGAAGACGCGGCCTGGCCTGGTGAGAGCCGGAGACACCCTGTCTGCGTGGTGGCTCGGCCTTGACCTTGTGCAGTGACGAGTGGGGCAGAGGAGGCCAGGAAGGGACGTGCTGACTTGTCCAGACCCTCGCTGTCCCTCAGGGGGACAGCGCTGGGCTGGCCAGACTGGCGTGGGGCTGACTGGGAGACTTAGACCCAGAGCGGTTCAGGGCCAGATTCCACCTTGATCCCTCGTCGCCCCTCCCTCGCCGCCGCGCAGGCGGGACGCACCTGGATGCCACTAGAGGGCGCAGCTGCACGCCGTCTAGAACGTGTCCGCCCTCCCCCTCAGAACTGTGGATGGACCAGGCGTGCCCTAAGGGGAAGCCCTCAGACCCTCTGCCGGCCCACCCATCTGGGCCACCCCAGGCTGTCGCATCAGCCCCAGGCTCGGTGCTCTACTCCGCCTGCCTCGCCCTCCTTGTCTTGGCCTGACGGCTGAGCACCAGTTTCCTCACCCAGCCCCCGACCCCAGGTGAACCACCTCCACGCCAGCGCATTCGAGACCCATCTTACTCCCCCGCCTGCCTCTGCCAACTGCACGCACCCGCAGGTGCTCAAGCGAAATCCACGGTTGTGCAGAACCCCCCCTTCCCAGCTCCCCTCCAGTCCGGCAGAGGACGCTGGCCCCTCTGCCTCCTAAATCCGTCCGCTCCAGCTCCCCCTTGCTGCTGCCACCGACACCACCCAGTCTGGGCACCATACCTCCTTCGGGGAACCGTCTTCCAGCTCCCACTCTGGCTCCAATGGGCCGATGAAGGGATCCTTTCAAAACATGGCAAAGGCAAAACTATGGAGACAGTAAACACGTCAGGGGTTTGGGGTGGGGGGAGGATGAAGAGGTGAGGCACAGAGGATTTTTAAGGCAGTAAAAATACTTTGTGTGATACTACAGTGGTAGATACATGCCAGTATACATTTTTCCAAACCCATAGAATGTACATCACCAGGTGAGCCCTAATGTGGACTGTGGATTTGGGGTGACTCTGATGTTAGTGTAGGTCCATCAGTTGTAACAAAAGTCCCACTCTGGGATGTTGATCATGGGGGAGGCTGTGCATGTGGGGAGAGAGCGTGGCTGGGGGTAAATGGGAAATCTCAGTACCTCCATCTCAATTTTGCTGTGAATCCAGAACTGTTCTAAAAAAATTGTCCTACAAACACATAAAAAAAAGTCACGGTACTGCTCTGCTTCGATCCCTGAGAGGACTCCCCATGTCACCCTGGGTCCCATCCCGAGTCAGGATCCCATCCTCACCGTTGTCACAAGGCCCTGTGTGACTGCGTCTCTCACAACCCACACCCTTCTTCTGCCCCAGGCCCGCTAGCTGCTTTCCTGCTGCTTATCACGAATTCATTTCCACCTCAGGGATGAGTGCAGGGTGGGGAGGCTGCCCTTCTCCCTCTCCTGCCTGTCCACATTGCCTCTCAGAGTGTGGAAGGCGGGTAGGGGTAGTGTTGAGCCGAGTCTGGGGCCCTGGGCTCCAGGAGATGCAGGGAAGCAGGATATGGCACCACGGGGTCCTGCCAGGCTCATCCCACAGCCTCCCACTTCACTGTCAGCTGTTTTTAGGATGCCTGTTCTCCCCCCTCCATCCTGTTGTACCTTTACCAAAAGACCTGCCTGCCCCCTCCCACAGGCTTCAGTGGGCCTGCCCCTGAAGGCTTGAGGGTGGGATTCCAGCACAGACACCCTAGTTCATACTAGGCTGTGAGTGACTAATAGGCGTACATAGTTATGCTTTTTGAGGAGAGGGGCCAGCTGAGTCTGGAGCCTAGTCCTGCACGGCACCTTGCAGGTTTCTTAGCTGCTTGAATGTGGCCACGGTTCCAATCCTGGGCCCACCTTCTCCCATCCTGACACTGAGTGTCCTTCTACAGGGGGTCAGCCAGGCAGGGCCTGAGCTACAACTTCACCCACCTGGACCGGTACCTGGACCTTCTCAGGGAGAACCAGCTCGTCCCAGGTAAGCTGCCAGCCTCGCCCCTGTACTGCTGGCCCCACCCCGTCCCCTTGGCCTGGCCCTTCTGTCCTCCTGGTTGCCTACTCAGGGCCTACCTCAGTGCCGGCCTGGTGGAGACAGGCAGGTGAGCACAGCCACCCTCATGTGCTGCAGGCTTTGAGCTGATGGGCAGCCCCTCCGGACGCTTCACTGACTTTGAGGACGAGCGGCAGGTGTTCGAGTGGAAAAACCTGGTTTCCCTCCTGGCCAGGAGATACATCGGTGGGTGGGGCGCGTGCCCTGCGGGGACAGGGTGGGCACTCCTGGGCAGGCTCTCCTCCCACGCCCACCCAGGCCACCTCCTGGTCTTCTCATCATGAACCCACTGAACCAGGGCCTCCTGATGGGGGAGGGGGGGCAGGTCGGTGGGGGGCGAGCTCATAGGGAATCAGACACTCCGGTCACATCCAAACCCCCCACCATGGTTGCCCTCCCTGGGGATCCCCATGAGCCCATGACCCTGCCCCAGGGGAGGGGCCCTCTCGCCACAGTAGGGACCCTCTGCAGGTAGGTACGGCCTCAAGCACGTTTCCAAGTGGAATTTCGAGACGTGGAACGAGCCGGACCACCACGACTTTGACAACGTGTCCATGACCTTGCAAGGTGGGCAGGCCGGCCTCCTGGGGTCCTGCGGATCTGAGAGGGGGTGGCAGCCGCCCCTCCGGCGCGGGAGTGTGGACTCGGTGTCCCTCCCGCCCAGGCTTCTTGAACTACTACGACGCCTGCTCCGAGGGTCTGCGAGCCGCCAGCTCGGCTCTGCGCCTGGGCGGCCCCGGAGACTCCTTCCACCCGCTGCCGCGCTCCCCGCTCTGCTGGGGCCTCCTGGGGCACTGCCACAATGGCACCAACTTCTTCACCGGGGAGGTGGGCGTGAGGCTGGACTACATCGCCCTCCACAAGAAGGTCAAGCCCGGGATCCCCGCCCTTCCGTCCGTCCCCGCCCCCAACCCAGCGCCTACGCGGGGGTCCCCTGCACGCGGCAACCCCAGAATGCCCGCCTGCTGCCTGCAGCTCCGCCGCCCCTCCGCGGCGGTCTCGGGGGTTGCTCAGGCGGGGCCTCTGCTCAGGCGGGGCCTCTGCGCAGGGCGCGGGCAGCTCCATCTCCATCCTGGAGCAGGAGGCGGCGGTCGTGCGGCAGATACAGCGGCTCTTCCCCAAGTTCGCGGACACCCCCGTTTACAACGACGAGGCCGACCCGCTGGTGGGCTGGTCCCTGCCGCAGCCCTGGAGGGCCGACGTGACCTACGCTGCCATGGTCGTGAAGGTGGGCCCGCCGCCAGGCCCGCCCCCGGGGGAGGCCTTTCTCCCGGGTGGGAGGGGCAGGCAGGCGGCCCCCGCGGTCGCGTTCCCAGCCACCCCGATTCCCGCAGGTCATCGCACAGCACCAGAACCTGCTGGTGGCCAACACCAGCTCCTCCGTCCGCTACGCGCTCCTAAGCAACGACAACGCCTTCCTGAGTTACCACCCGCACCCCTTCTCTCAGCGCACGCTCACCGCGCGCTTCCAGGTCAACGACACGCGCCCGCCGCACGTGCAGCTGCTGCGCAAGCCGGTGCTCACGGCGATGGCCCTGCTGGCCCTGCTGGGTGAGCCGCGTGCCGGGTTTCGCGTCACTTCCTGCGAGGGCGGGGCCAGGACGAAGCCTCAGTTGGACGGGGATGTCGTTCTAGGCCAGGAGTAGCTTGTGCAAAGGCCCGCGAAAGGATGTGCCTTGCTGGGGAGCCGGGAGCATGTTTCTTGTCCCTCCCCACCCTTCCCAGCTCAGTGGGTCACAGAGCTTGTGGTGTGGCCGGGGACCTCCAGTGGAGGAGGGCAAATGGTGGGAAGCAGGCCCTGGGAGGGTCGAGGGGCGACGACTCCGCGTGGTGACCCTTCTAACCCCCGTAGACGACGAGCAGCTCTGGGCTGAGGTGTCGCGGGACGGGACGGTGCTGGACAGCAACCACACGGTGGGCGTCCTGGCCAGCACCCACCACCCCATGGGCCCTGCCGACGCCTGGCGCGCCACGGTGCTGGTCTACGCGAGCGACGACACCCGCGCCCATGCCAACCGCAGCGTACCCTTGACTCTGAGCCTGTACGGGGTGCCCCCGGGCCCGGGTAAGCAGGGCTCCCAGAGAGGGGGCTCCAGCTCCTGGGGTGGGGGTAGCTCTGGCGGGGCGGGGCCTGGAGGAGGCGAGCCCAGCCCCAGCATCCCGCTCCGCAGAGGTCGTCTTTGTCCAGCTCTACATGGACAACTGGCTCTGCAGCCCCTACGGCGAGTGGCGGCGCCTGGGCAGGCCCGTCTACCCCTCTGCTGAGCAGTTCCGGCGCATGCGCGCGGCCGAGGTCCGCGGGGAACGTGGGGTAAGGGGCGGGGCGGCTCCCGAGGTACGAGGGCCCTGAGCCCCTGACTCTGTCCCCAGGACCCGGCGGCCGTGATGCCGCTCCCTTTTCCCAGCAGCGGCCGCCTGACGCTGCGCCCAGCGCTTCCTCTGCCCTCGCTCTGGCTGGTGCACGTGTGCGCGCGCCCGGAGGAGCCGCCGGGGCAGGCAAGTGGCAGTTCCTTTCCCGCCGCCGCCCCAGTCGCCCCCGCCCCCAACCAGTCTCGGTGCCTCACTCCCCCAGGTGACCCGGCTCCGTGCTCTCCCCTTGACCCGCGGGCAGCTGCTTTTGGTCTGGTCCGATGAGCGTGTGGGCTCCAAGTACGTGAGTGCGGTCACCACCCCTACCCCTGCCCCCCCCAACGCGCCCTTGGCCCCCAGATCCTCCGGGCTGTAGCGCCCATGTGGCCACTCTCTGTGGCCCTTTGGTCACCCCACGCGGACTGTGCTCTCTGCCGCCCATACAGCTGCCCCCACTGTTGGCACAAATGGCTCATGACTTTGTGCCTCTGTGATGTAGGGTGGGGGCACCGACACAGGCCATTTGCCCCTGGCACGTGCTCCAGACCCCTCCTCTCAGCCAGTGTGGCCCTTTGTCATTGCAAAAAGAGTGTCCTGGGCCCCGGGGAGGGGCCAGGAAGGGGGCTGGAGGGGAGTAGGGCTCTGGGCGCCCCCTGCCTGCCAGTCCCCCTGGACCCCAGCCCTGGTTCTGCCTGACCTTCCCCAGGTGCCTGTGGACCTACGAGATCCAGTTCTCCCTGGAGGGCGTGGTGTACCTGCCCATCAACAGGAAGCCTTCGACTTTTAACCTCTTCGTGTTCAGCCCAGGTGTGCCTGCTGCCTCAGCACAGTCCCTGTGGGGAGGGGTCCAGGGCCTTCCGGCACCTGGAGTTTGGGGGGATCAGAGGGGTTCAGGTTCAAGGGCAGGCACGTACCTTTGTGTCCTCAGACACGGCTGTCGTCTCCGGCTCCTACCGGGTTCGTGCTGTGGATTACTGGGCCCGACCAGGCCCCTTCTCGAGCCCCGTGTGGTACCTGGGGGTCCCTGCCCCGTGAGGGCCACTGCTGCCCCGCGACTGGACCTGTGCTGACCGTAAGCCTGGGCGGCCAGAAGCCATGCTGGGCCAGAGTGCCGTCAGCCGGTCATCCCCTCTGTTTGTCCCCTCCTGCCCCTCATTCACCCCCTTAAAGTGCCTTTCCACGCACAGTAATGGGGACGGCCTTCGTGGTGGGCACTGGGCAGACACGAGGCCTGGCTGGAGTGAGGCCATCCCCGCCTCGCCCCACCCCTGCCTGTGGGAGCCGGGATGGGACTCGGGTCGAGCGCAGACAGGTGTGAGTTGCCACTGGGGTGCCCGCCCTGCACGCCTGGGGTCTCTGGCGTCACTGCTGGGTGCAGCAGGCCCCATTCCCAGCCCCTGCGCCGGGAGGGCCCAGAGGGTTCCCACTTCCTGAGGCCCAGCCAGGCTGCCCCCTGCACCCTGCCTGGCCCAGACTGTCCCCAGTGGCAGGGGAGGCCGACAGTGTCCACTCCTGTGGTCATCTGGGCTCCTTATCTGGGTCCAGGAGAAAGCAGCACGCCCAGACGAGGGCGACTTGGGGACTGTGGATGGACATGTGGACGGGGGCAGGGAAGCCACAAGGGGTGGTGTGGAGCCCTGGGGCTCCTCCCCAACCCCCCACGCCCACCCCAGGCCACCTGGTGAGGCCATGTGGCGAGGAGCGGGGGTGCAGCCAGTCTGGAGCGATGCAAGCGGGAGTGGGGGCCCCGACCCACCCTCCTCTCTCTGCTGCCCTCCGAGCGGCCTGGGCTCAGGGATGGGTGAGGCAGGCCTGGCAGGGCACATGCAAGGCAAGGCCCAGTCACCCCCGGCTCCTGTCCGCATGGAAAGGGCGGGGCACCAGGGCCCACCAGCAGCCTCATCCTGGGCTGGGGATGTCAGTGTGAGCATTCTCCACCTGAACCCCAAAGCCAGCACCTGTCCCCATCGCCCTTGGCCGCTGGGGAGGCTTCAGGGCTTGGTGCCTGGGGCCCCGTTGTTACATACAAGGGGTGCTGGGGTGCCCGGTGGGCCCCCGGTCTCTGGGCGTTGTTTTCCTGCCTCATCAGGAAGCTCTGGCTGGATGCGGCTACGTGACCAAGCACCACGGTGGGCAGGCGGCCCGTACAGCAGAGGCTCATTCTCTCACATCCTGGAGGCCGCAGCCTGAGGACAGGGGTTCCTCCTGAGGGCGCTCTCCTTGCCTTGCAGACGGCCGCCTCCTCCCCGTGTCCTCACAGGGTCGTCCCTTTGTGTGTGTCTGTGTCCTGATCTCGTCTTCTTATAAGGACACCAGCCATGTGGGATTCAGGCCCACCCATAGGACCTCATTTGAATCACCTCTTTAAAGCTCCCTCTCCAAATAAGGTCACAGTCTGAGGTACTGGGGATGAGAACGTCAGTGTATGAATCGGAGGGATCCAGTTCAGTCGGTAACGAGCACCAACCCTATTTCTCTGCGGTGGTAGGAATGCATCACCCCGGCGTTAAAGCAGCCTCTTCTTTTTGGGATACAGACTGCTATATATAAAATATAAACAATAGGCCCTACTGTATAGCACAGGGAACTATATTCAATATCTTGTAATAAACCGTAATAGGAAAGAATATGAAAAGGAATATATACGTTGGGTTGGCCAAAAAGTTCATTTGGATTTTTCCATCACATCTTATGGAAAAACCCGAACGAACTTTCTGGCCAACCCTATATATACATGTATATAACTGAATCACTTTGCGGTACACCAGAAACTAATGGAACATTGTAATCACCTATACTTCAATTAAAAAAATTTTTTTAAAGCAGCTTTTTCTCTACCTGCTGGTTCGGTAGCCTGAGGACCCCTGATGGTCAGGGGCCATCTCAGCTCGCAGCTTACTGGGAGGGGTACTGGGTTCCCTGGTTCCTTCCTTGGACACTGCACACCCCACCGCACACCCCACTGAGCAGAGATCTCAGATGGGCCCCTCCTGTGGAGACAGGTGTGGCTCCAGGGCAGTCAGTGGGGGTTTAGCACTGGCACCTGCGTCTTGGCCAGGACAGCAAAGCCACAGCCGTCTCCAGGGGTAAGTCACCATCTCCACTTGCATTGTGGCTTGTGTGTTGTCAGGTGGCCACCGGGTTGCTGGCACGTGTGCATCCTCTGACTGTGTTCTGGTCTTTGCTGGTTTGGGCTTGGGCTGGGAGCTGTGGTGGGAGTTTGGGAAGTCCAGGTAATTGGCCCGTGCACGTCCTCCGTCCCTGCTGTCATGGCCACTTTGCACCTGGGCCCACGGAGTGGTCACGGATGGCAGAAAGAGGCTGACATCGACATGCCGCGTTGATGAGCCCCTGCTGTCGGGGACGCTGCCTGGAGCGGTGTATCTTTCCTGCAGGACACGGCACCCTCTCTGTCCCTGTCCCCAGACCTTTGTCCCCAAGTGTCCTGTCTTCGTGGCTCTGGGTCTGGCCACCGGCTGACCTGTCGGATGCTGCTTGCTTGAGCCGGACGTGCACCTTGGTTCTGCGTGCCGGGGGACGCCGGTGCGCGTGCACACGTGCCTGCAAGCCGCATCCCTCACGCGGCTGCAGGAAGCTCTTCGTGCAGCCCTGGCCGTGGGTTGAGGGAGAGGCAGCAAGCAGCTCAGGAGCTGGAGGCTCCGGTCACGTGACTCGCTTTCGGATGCGCCTGGGCCCAGGCTCTGATGTTTAAATTCGGGACCGAATGCTGTGTGCACCGTCTTCTCACTGGGCCCTTGGGTCACGTGGCCACTTGGTAAATGGAGTTGGACCTGCCCCAGAGCTCAGTGGCAGACCCGGAGCTGCTTTTCAAGTGGAGAGTTGTGTTTGACGCAGAAGGAGATGGACTTGCTCCAGGATGCCAGGGCTCTGGGCTGGAGGCGTTTGCCACGGGTGTCTGCCACAGATGCTCCAGGCTGCGTGGGGTCTGACGGGCTACCCACCCAAGGGGCGAGTGGCCTGGGGCCCAGGAGATGGGTGAGAACAGCAGGTGCAGATGTGGCGTGGGCCGCTCCCCCACCCAGAGCCGCACTGAGCGCTGTGCCTCCTAGAAGTGGTCCTCCACACGCCTGCGTTGCCAGACCGTCGTACCCCCAAACTTCCCTGGACTTTCAGCAGGTTTACCTCTCACGCTGCGGGAGGCATGGGCTTTACCGAGGCCTCTAGGGCGCTTGTCATCTCTTGGCCGCCCTGTCTAATCGGCATAATGTCATCAAGGGAACCAAGATCCCTGGACCGTGTTAAGATGGTGGGAGCGTTGGTGCCATCAGGCAGACTCTGAAAGTGTGCTGCCGTGCCTGCCATGTGCGGGAGCCCGCTGGTCTCCTTCCTCGAGGGGGACAGAAAAGCCAGCTGCGCTGCATACTGGCGCCACGGACTGTGATTTTGTCCAGTGAAGGTACACGTCCAGACCTCAGCCGGTTGGTGTTGCCCTGGGTTATGCTGTGACCATCTGTCAGTCAGCGCCCATCTGGCGAGTGATATGGGGAACAGAGAAGGAGTCCCCGCCCTCGCGCCTCCCCGGTTCCTGATGTTGGACCCAACCCCAGGAACATGGTGCTATTTCTGGTTTGGCGTGGAGGGCAGGCCTGGGGGCTTCCACCATAGCCCCCCATGTGGCAGCCGGGGCCCAGTGTGGGGCTGTGGCTGCTCGCTGAGTATGAATGGCGCACTCTACGTTCTGCGGAGGTGGAAACACCTACAGGAAGGGTCTGCAAACCCGTGGGCTCACAGACTCAGGCCCACGCCCCATGTGACCAGTGATGGTGGCTTTCTGGTGCGTGAGGATTGGCCTCACTTCAGAGCCGTCATCTAGGAATCCCCTCCATAGGGCAGTCACTGAGGGTGCCGCAGGTGCCCCTTACGTAACTGGGGCCATAGGCTAGTGACTGTATAGGCAGTTCTTTGTCAGGGGGGCCAGCCTGCCCTCCATCAAGGGCTCTGGGTCCTGCACACAAGGCCCTAGCCTCGCTATGACAAGGGGCTTCAGAGACCTGCCAACGGACCTACAATTTTCTGCCTATGTGTGCCTCAAGCAGCACTTCAGAAGCTGCCCACCTGTGTTATTTCTCGAGACCCTGCATGTAATCGGCCATCTCATGTTTGCCAAGTCCCCTGAGGGCCCATGGCTGCGAACACTTGCATGTGTGAGTCACCTGGGGTCTTGTTAAGATGTGGGTCTGGGGCTTCCCTGGTGGCGCAGTGGTTGAGAGTCCGCCTACTGATGCAGGGGACACGGGTTCATGCCCCGGTCCGGGAAGATCCCACATGCCGCGGAGCGGCTGGGCCCGTGAGCCGTGGCCGCTGAGCCTGCGCGTCCGGAGCCTGTGCTCTGCAATGGGAGAGGCCACAACAGTGAGGGGCCCGCGCACCCAAAAAAAAAAAAAAAAAAAAAAAAGACGTGGGTCTGACTCTAGTCTGTCTGGGATGGGGCCTGAGACTGCATTTCCAACCACCCATGTGCTGCTGGTCTCAGGGGCCAGTGCCAGTGCCAGCCCCGTGGCCCAGTGACTGCAGTGCACTGCTAGGTGCTTACCAGGCTCCTGCTGGCCGATCCTCAAGGTTGGGGCTTCCTCTTCCCAGAATGTGTCCGACAGGCTGTGCGGGCAGAAGAACAGCCCGCGTGCGCACGTGGACAGGCTGTACACGGGGGCGGTGTGGCTGTCCTGCCCATCTGTCCCCATTTCCCTTCCTCACAAATTGCTGCTCCTGAGCAGACAAGGGCCCCGGCGGGTTCTTGGGGTGTGGTGAATGCGGGTGGTTCGGCCCGGCAGCAGCACGTAGAACCGGCCCTGTGGCCACAGGAGACAAGCCAGGAGGCCCCTGTCCCCGCGTGCCCCTGGCTCTCGGTTCTGCCTCTTCCCTTTCAAGGGAGAAGGAGGGACGCCAAGTCTTTAGAAGCAGGGCTGTTGCCATAGCAACCAGCCTCTTCCTCTGCCGCACTTGCCCAGCTGGAGGCCGCCCATCCATACGGTGTCTGTGACCGAGTCGCCGGCAGCACCCCCAGTGTCCCTCGGGAAGGAGGAGTCCCTCCCGCAGTGGTCCCAGCACAGGTGCAGGAGTGGCCAGCCCCACGCGTGGGGAGGCTCCAGTGAGGCCCCAGGAGAGAAGGCAAAACCAAAAAGGGGTCTCTCGTGCATTTTAAAGTGACGTCACCCCTGTTCACACTTCGTGTGTTCACTCAGCAGCCGAGGCCGAGCCTATCACCTCCGTGGCCTCCCCCGTCCCTCCACACAGGCCTCTCGTCTGTCTGTCTGTCTGTCTAGCAGATCAACCTGATTTGTTTTTTTAAATAACAACTGTATTGAGACATAATTGACACTATTTAGAGCATATGACTTGACACGTTTTGGCCTGTTTCTGTCCATGAATCTCTGACCACAATCTAGACAGTGGCAGTTCCCATCACCCCCAGAGGTCGTCTCACGCCCCCTCCTAGCCCCAACCCAGGCAGCCCCACGTCTGCCTCGGTCACTGTAGACCCACTGGCTCTTTCTAGAATGTGGTACAGATGCCATCACACAGTTCGCACGTCTCTTCCACCAGCACAGTTACCTTCAGACTCGCCTGCGTCGTTGCCAAGTGTCGACGGATGGTTCACGGCTTTTTATGGCTGATCACGTCCCATCGTGTGGACCTAGAACGGTTTGCCCCGTCACTTGTTGACGGACATTTGGGTAGCTCCCAGTTCGGGGCTGTTACAAATAAAGCCGCTGTGAACACTTGTGTGCAAATTTGTGTGGACATGTACCTCCTTTTCTGTTTGGTAAATACCTGCGAGTGGGACGCTATGTCACGTGACTCGATTACATGTGTGTAATTGGCTCTGGAAACTTGCTGCTTGCGGCTGGCTGTGTCTCGCCACCTTGCCGAGTGCTCATTTCGGTGACGTTTTGTCTTGTAGAGTCCGTAGAATCGTCCACATAGATGATCTTGTCATTCACAAATCAGGGGCGTTTTACTTCCTTGCAGTCTGAACTGGCTTGACCCTCCAGCACGATGTCGACTAGCAGGGAGACAGCAAACCCCAGGTCTGGTTCTAACTTAAGGGGTGAGCGTCATTCTTTAACAGTTAAGTATGATGTTAGCTGTAATGTTTTTGTAGATGCCTTTTCTCAGTTGGAGGATGTCCTTTTCTTTGCCAGTTTGCTGAGAGTTTTTTTTTTTTTTTAACATCAGGAATGGGTGTTGGATTCTGTCCAGTGATCTTTCTGCATCTACTGAGATAATCATATGTTTTTCCTTTCTGTTGATACGGTAAGTTATGTTGATTGATTTTCAAATGTTAAACCAACTTTGCATCCCTGGGATAAACCCCACCTGATCATGATGTATTATCCTTTTTTTGTTGGATTTGATTAACCAAAACTTCAGGTGTTTTGCGTCTGTGGTCATGACCGATGCTGTGCTGTAGGCTTCTGTTCTTGTCATTCTGGATTTGCCGTCATGGAATGAGTCAAGAGGTAGCCCCTTCTCTTCCCTTTGCTGCGAGTGTTTGCATAGAATGGGTGTTATTTCCTTCTTAACTGTTCTGTAGAGTTTCTCAGTGAAGCCATCTGGGCCTGGTGTTTTCTTCTTTTTTTCTTATCAGTAAAGAAAATGAATTAATAGCTTAA